AAAGCTAGTAGATGCCAGACCAAAACGTGGCAGAAATCCATGAAGTCACTGACAGGTGGACTGAGATATGTTGGCAGATGTGGGCTACCTGGTTGGGATTCGCGAGGCGAAAGTCACCGATGGTTAGAGACCTTGACTGACATGGCTCAGAATCGTTTTCAATGGCACAGGTGCATCCACTTTTTATGTTCTCTCTAATATCTAACCTTCTGAATTCCTCATAATCTCCACCTTTCTCCTTCTAAACTTATCCTACTGAATTATACTTATCGAATCATATCTTCTTTTTCTAACTTCTACTATCGCTATCACTCTTGGATTTGAACTTACAAATGCGTCTCTGTGCTGATGTGGTATAGCAACCTGAACTGATGTACTTACGTACGAAGTTATGCGTTGTATCTATCTATCTATATATGAATTGATATATAAATATAAATAAATAAATAAATAAATATATATATATATATATATATATATATATATATCGATTTCTCGATGAATAAATAAAGTAAATAATTATAAGACGTTGCTTACCACACAATTCAAATACATTCGAAGAAATGAATGTTTATTAATAGAAGCTAGAAAATCTAAAATCATAGAATTAAAACAATAAATAAATAAATACCAGTATAAGGTTCTAGAGATTTCATTAAAATCATAAACTGGTCTACGTTGGGACTGAAAGTCCTCGGTTCGTTCCCTGCACTCAGTGTCGTAGATGCACACTGTTGAAGAATTTTTTACAGGAACGAGAAGGACGTCCAGTGCTTCCACAACTTTAGTGGTGGTCTATAATTATATCATGATTTGAATGAGAAGTAGATAATGAGAACAGAATGATAAATAATGTAAATGCATCAATGAAAAGGGATAAAATTCTGCCACTTGAAACGAAAAATATTTCTTCAGGAATGTGTTATGCTCGTTACTTGATATGCTTGAAACTATTACGAGTTCACCTTAGTCGATAAACGAGAACGAGACAATGAACCAGTGACACGGTAGGCTACTCTGATCTGTTGCATCATACTAACTGACGAAAAAGTCTTGATATAGCGCAGAAATAGCATTCCACAAACACCCAGAAAACACAATGATCTCAAGCACACAAATCGCGTTTAATTTATACATCATAGAAATGTCCTTGGGAGAGTCGCAAAAATAGCGCACCAAAATAACAAATCAACCAATCACGGGCAATGATTTTCCTGGTGGGAAATGTGATGTCAAGGTCAAACGATTAGCCCACGAATAAAATCCAAAGTTAGTTCTGCCGATCTAACGTCCCTAACAGTTTGGCTTACGAGGGCAATTGAACAAGTGGTAGAAAGTAACACAAGCGAGATATCCATTTGCTAACAAAAAGACAAGCCTAATACGCAGCAGTTCACTCGGTCTTATGACTGTAAAACATGAAAAGTAAAAATTGAGGAGATTCGTGGGTTACTGTTATTCGATCGTCGGTATCTTCGAAGCCTGGGTAATATATCCTGGAGCAAGTGATTAAACAATGCTGATGCTTAGAAACGGGCACTAGATAAGAGCGACAATACAAGAGATGAGGTGGTGAATCTTCAAATGCTGAGCTGGCTAGGGCATATAATACGTATGCCAGATGACCGACGACCTCGAAAAAAGAATTTACTTGATATAGGAGTGAAAAAACACTGCCTGCAGGCAATTCTGTGGCTACTTCCGGCCTCAAGAACGGATAAAAACAGGGTATTGGCCATTGGGCTGGTGACCCAATCAAACAAAAACTTAATTCGCTAAAAAAACACTAACCATAAAACATAATTCGAACCATTTTAACTCTGCCCTAAGAGTTGGAAGGTCTTCTAAATGAAGAATTATGACTTCAAATAATGAAAGCCGAGCTCCATAGGAAGTCACGAGGCCGATGCCACATCTGACAACCGAAGCAACCATTCATTTGGGTACACGGAACACTAAAGGTCAGGCTTATGGTGTATTGTCATTGAAATTATTTACTTCAAGTGGTGGCCGTCACGGATGTCCACATTTTCCATTCTTGTTTCACTTTGTAGTAGAAATGCTTTTAGAGTTAACATTTTTGTCGTCTGACTTTTCAGGGGTTGACCTTCTGCCAGGAGACTCGCATGCTGACCTTGAATATGCTGATAACGCTGAAAAAGTAGAAAGTCTTTCGACTACCCTAAGCAACAATGCTAGCATGTTCGGGATGCGGTTCCCCCGATCAAAATGCAAAATGTTGCGTCAAGATTGGCTTATGTCAACACATAAACTAGTGATAGGGGGTGAAGCAGTTGAGAATGTTGACCGCTTCACTTATCTCGGGAGTCTCATCAGTGACGATGGCCTGGTGACTGACGAAATGTCAGCACGGATACAGATGGCTCGATTGGCTTTCGCAAACTTGCATCACTTATGGCGTAGGTGAGACACCTGTCTGCTAACCAAAGGACGAGTGTACTCCTCAGTAGTTTGCTCCGTCCTACTTTATGGCTGTGAAACATGGCCAGTCAGAGTAGAAGATATTAGTATGTTGCTTGTTTTCGATCATAGGTGGCTTAGAAGCATTGCTCGTGTATCATGGGACAACCGAGGAAGCAATACTGCTGTTAGGAAACGGGTGCTAGGTAAGGATGGCAGGTCAATAGATGAAGTAGTGAAACTTCATCAGTTGAGGTGGTTGGGACATGTGTTGCGAATGCCTAACCACCGACTGATGTTTTGCGATCTAGAAATAGGTTGGAAGGAAGTTAGGGGTGGCCAAACCAAAACATGGCAGAAATCCATGAAGTCACTGACAAGTGGACTGATTCATGTCGGTAGGTGTCGACTACCTGGTTGGGGCCCGCGAGATGTACGTTGCTGTTAATGATGATGACATCAGTTCAAATTGCTATACCATATTAGCATGGAGATGCGATTGTTAATGATAGTGATACATATAGCACAAGTAGTAGCTGTAATGAAAAGAGTGGGTATGAGGATATGATTCGAGTAACAATCCAATGAAATTACTTTCAAAGAGAAAAAGCGGTCATGAGGAATTCAGAAGTTTAGAATTTGAGGGAACTCCGAGAACGAATACGTGTGCCATTGTAAATTATTTTTAGGCCTGTGTCTCTGACTATCGGTTACTATTATCTCGCGGACTGAAACCAGGTAGTCTACACCTACTAACATCACTTTATCCACTTGTAAGTGACTTCATGGATTTCTGCCATGTTTTGGTTTGGCCACCCCTAGCTTTTTCGTGTGTTTTTATGCATGCTCTAGTTATATGCAAAATATCACCATAAATATAAGCATGATTATATAGTACTGACAATTGAGTGTTTTAAATTTGTTAGCAGCATGGCTCAGTTCAACGGTAAATAACTTTGCAGACTAGCCATCGCTAGCTTGCTTCCAACCTACATCTGAACTAGGAAGCATTAGTTTCTAAGATAAGCAGCGGTTCGGTATATGTAATAAATGTTTCGAAAACTTCAGTCGATGAAAATGTACAACCTCACTAACCAATTTGTAACCATGCTGAATACTCTGTATTCAGGAACCTTAAAACTGCTTATAAAACGCGATCATTGCTTCGAGGACAGTTATGATCAGAAAACCTTAGTTTACGCATGTTTCCTAATTTTATAGATCATATTTCATAGTCGTAAAGTAGAACAGAACAGATGATGGAGCAGCGTACACTCGCTTCAGTTGGCAGACAGATGTCTCGATTACACCATACGTGAGGTGAGTTTGTGAACTTTAACTGAGATTTGGTAATCAAAACCAAAAAGTATAGCAGAGACATCTGTGTATGTGTATGAGTAGACAAGCTCTAACAATTAAATAACGGTACACAATCCAAATGAATTCAATATCATAATACAGAAAGTATACTTACCTAAAAAACTAACAACCGCAACACTTTTAGTCATTAATTCTTGAAATGACAGATCATAAATTCGTGCATCAGGTTTTAAATGATAAGCTAATACACGTTCGGGCTAAAAATGGGAAGCGGGGAAGGGAAGGAAAGTATTTAATAAAGTAGGCACACATATATATTACAGTTCAGTAAAGACTTACTTTTTCAACTACACCTTCTTGAATTTGTTTCCGACGAATTGAGCATATTTTCCTAACATAGTCTAGACTTCCAAGTTGTGCTTTAATTAGAGCATCTAAAAATGCAATGTGGAAATTCCTGCTTATTTCACTCTATTTTTTGAAACATAGTATCTAATAAAATAGTATAGTAACAATGTTGCTGCTACCGAGATTAACAATCAGTTTAACTATGAGCCAGATTAAAGTGCATGAAAACTCAGATTAGGAAAAAAGTGTTTTTGATGTTGTTTTTTCTAAGCCAGATAGTTTAGTTGTAGAGTTATGGTTTCGAATGTTTAAGAAAAATGTGGATTGAGACATTATCAAACATGGCCCAAAGAGAAAGCTAGAGGCGATTCTGCCGCAACTCTTTTCGCTTTGTTTACGCAAATGAGGGGAACAACATCGACTAAAAAAATCATTTCTGATCCTATTTTTCTTAATCGAACTGCTTCTGCCAATGTTATTACTATTATTATTGTCATTTTTATCATTTTTACATCAAAAATACCGAATTTTTTTCATTTTTTTCCGTTACACTCAATGTCTTTATCATCCCATTTTTACATATTTTGGTGCCACTTTGTATCACTGTTTGTGTTTAAATACAATCAATGTCCGTACATTGAAAGCTCCAACATGTAGTCTAGAACGGGTTTTCAGGAGACCAGGAATAACGTTTTGTGCGCTCACATCATTTAAATTAGCGGTACGGGGTGATAAAGGGATGTGAGAAGAAATAGTCATGGAGATAAGAGATATGTTAGGGGGTGTAAGAAGGACTTGATTTTGACCAATTCGGTCTCGTGTGCTGTTACGGGTATGAGGGCGGTTGTCACTTCCCGGCTGCTCACACTGCGGAAGGTTGTTTCTTGAGGGAGCTGAAAAAGAAGGTAGTTTAGTGTCGGTCTTAGTGATCTAGAAGCTTGACCGCAGAGCCCAAGGGGTAACTGCTTTGAGGCTGGTCACGCACAGCCTTTTTATGAGAGATCCTCAAAGAATGAGCTCCGCTGTTGTTTGAAAGCCCTTATTGATAATAAAGCTAAGAATATATTTCACGAACAACTAGAAAAACTGGGGCAGCTATGTAAGTGTTACTCGACACGAGGCAGCTTGGAATGATATTCAAAAAGCTAGGGAAACAGCAGTGGTATCTGCTAATAAGGTAAACCATAAAGTTAGGGAGAAAACTGTGGAATTCAGTAGCGTCTACCGACTCATAGGTGCATGAGAAGTCATTCCGTCTGGCATTGAGTAAGATGAGGAGCGGAGTCAGCTTACGCGCAGATATGAAAGAAACCTACATAATGATCGCGTCCAGTGGTGGGTAGAAAACGAAGGACAGATATAAAAGGCCAAGGAGTTGCGCAACAGTAGACAACTGTTCAGATTTATCATCGAAACCGGTTCAAAGCGCAGTCGGGTAAGCCAAGCTGGTTCCAGATCTGAACATGGATATACCAGATAATCACACAACATAAGACCCTAGTACGCAGATACACATTCAAACGTCCTATAATAGTATATATCTCGAACTTAAGGCAGCATTTGACTCTAAACATCGTGTCAGTCACAGAAAGGTGTACCAAAGAAGTACATTAACCTTATAAGCTCTCTACTCGAACACCACAGTTGGAGTAAAAGTTTATGGCGAACTGTCATCGGAATTCTTTACTTCAAGTGGTGTCCGTGAGGGTTGTCCACTAGCCCCATTTTGTTTGATTTTTTCACAGACATGCTTCTAGATATAACATTATCTCCGTCTGACTTTGCAGTAGTAAACTTATCAGGAGATTCATTAGCTGCCTTGGAATATGTCGATAAAATAGTTCAACTTGCTGAAGAGGCTGACAAAATGCAGTCTCATGACTACCTTAAACAACGATGCAAGCATGTTCGGGATGCGGTTCCCCCGATCAAAATGCAAAATGTTGCGTCAAGATTGGCTTATGTCAACACATAAACTAGTGATAGGGGGTGAAGCAGTTGAGGATGTTGACCGCTTCACTTATCTCGGGAGTCTCATCAGTGACGATGGCCTGGTGACTGACGAAATGTCAGCACGGATACAGATGGCTCGATTGGCTTTCGCAAACTTGCATCACTTATGGCGTAGGTGAGACACCTGTCTGCTAACCAAAGGACGAGTGTACTCCTCAGTAGTTTGCTCCGTCCTACTTTATGGCTGTGAAACATGGCCAGTCAGAGTAGAAGATATGTAGTGCCTCCACATATATTTCACTTCTCTCACATCTAACTTGGTTAAGCCCTTTCGATTAATTTATTTAACCAAGCCATTCGCCTAGCAACAACTTGTATGTACCATTGGTATTTTTTATTATCTGCTTTGTATGAGCTAGTATGACTGAGCATTGCTTAACGCCTACGCATATATGCATCCTATTCGCTTTAATATTAATCTCTTCAATACCACAATGACTCAGACATTTTCCTTTGTATATATACGAACATTCTTATCTTATTAATTCATTCGCACATTCGCATATTCGCTCGCTAGTCTGTCTGCCTGGTCTGTCTGTGGTCTGCTGTTATTAATTGTGGTGTGCTACAATAAACGTGTACGATACTCGGAATTCATCTTCTGATTTATTAACCGTCAGACGTCATTTGGATAAGGTAGTCTGAACGAGCTTATTACGAAACGTAAGAACACGCATTAAGCCGGCACACCTCAGATATTAGTATGTTGCTTGTTTTCGATCATAGGTGGCTTAGAAGCATTGCTCGTGTATCATGGGACAACCGAGGAAGCAATGCTGCTGTTAGGAAACGGGTGCTAGGTAAGGATGGCAGGTCAATAGATGAAGTAGTGAAACTTCATCAGTTGAGGTGGTTGGGACATGTGTTGCGTATGCCTAACCACCGACTGATGTTTTGCGATCTAGAAATAGGTTGGAAGGAAGTTAGGGGTGGCCAAACCAAAACATGGCAGAAATCCATGAAGTCACTGACAAGTGGACTGATTCATGTCGGTAGGTGTCGACTACCTGGTTGGGGCCCGCGAGATAATAGTAATCGATGGTTAGAGACCCTGAATGACGTGGCTCAAAACCGTTTGCAATAGCGCAGGTGCATCCATACTTAGTGTTCTCTCATATCCTAACCTTCTGAATTACTCATCACTTTATCTTTTTCTTTTTAAGTTTATTTCACTAGATTCTACTTCTTGAATAATATCTTCGAACCCTAATCTCTCCGATTATTGCTAATGCCTTTACTACCCCTACTACTATGGGATTTGAATTGACAATTGTGTCTCTGTGCTAATGTTGTATGGCAACTTGAACTGATGTACGTACGCACGAAGGTCCACGTTGTATAACTGACTGACTAGACGTGTTTTACAGGGACATTACAAAAATGATTTCAGTGATTATTCAAGGCTGCAATGTCTTCATTCTAAGACGACAGAGGTTAATTTTACAAAATGTTATTTAGAAAATTTATTTGCAAAGCTGTAAAATCGCTCAAGTAATTTTCCTTAATTCTATGTCTTCATGGACTCACTGCATTTCTGTATTTTTAAAACCTAACTATGATAAATAAAACAAATATACAAACAAACTAGATATAATTCTATTTACCATCATCACCCCCGGTATCGTGGCCCCGAAGTTTATCCATGAAACTATTTAGCTGACGGATAACAACATCGATCTCTTCAACGCTGTCAGACATACGTAATGCTTGACAGTAATACTCACTGGTATAGGCGCTATCTGATGCCTATAATTAGAGAAAAAGTGGTAAGTCAAAATTAGAGTATAAGGTGAAGTAAAGTACTGAATTGGATATAAAACAAAAACAGATAGCTGAAATACACTTGTTATTCGACAAGGGTCTATAGAAGACTTTTTGGTCACGCAAAGAAACAAATTTTAAATTGCACCTGTCTCTAAAGGAAAAATGCGTTGTAATGTTATCAATACTTTTGAGTTGCAGTGAAAAACACTTAGAAAGTTAATAAAGGAGATTTAAAATTTACCACTCAAATTGTTAACATCAGTGAAGTGAACGGTCGTAGTTCCTAGAAATGTTCATACAAGAAAAATTAATGTTCAAAGTATACCTAAAAATAATAAATACCTCAAATATAATGCAACTAAAGTTATTTGTATATAGGGCCTTCAAGATATTAATAAGCTTCTCAAGTACACCCAAAAAAGCAAAGGCGGAATCGATCTCAAGGAACAATTGTTGACCTGCAAAAAGTGTGGAGGTGTTATAACATTTGACGGAGGGTAAAGATATAATCAATAAACCATCAACCTGGACGAAAAACAAACCAAATTTCACTTGCGCCGCTGCAACTATTCTCAGATAACCGCCTATTTCTAGCAGACACTAACCTTAAGCATAAAGAAAACATCTTTTGAACTGGCGAGCCTAAAATTCGTCTCAATGTTGGACCCAACAAGATCACATCGCCATCAGCCACCGAAGAAGGAGTTCGAAACAAGACTATTGCTCGTTCTGAAGCACATGTCTAGATTCAGATCATGCTTTAGTGCGAGCGCGTATTTGTTTGAGGTTTACCCTCTCTTTGTTCTAACGTCCTCGATGGTCTCTTAGAACTTTTTATTGATGTAGATATGAACGATTCGGTTTTGTATAGTGGTGATCCAGTGAAATTGATGTGGCTTTTTGTGTAAGAGTAATGTGCCACTGATGACCAGTTTCTTTGAAGCACCATCTTCATTCTTTTCTATCAATCCATGTCGTCACATGATGTCTTCATATCCAGTGTTGTCCATGCCAACCTTGGCATGCAGGTCTCCCGTTAAAATGGTCAAATCCTTTGATGAGCATCTGTCGACGATTGAATGCAGCCTTTCAAAGAACTGATCTCTATCGTCGTCATTGCAGTCGTTAGTAGGTGCATAGCATTGGATGACGTTCATTGTATTGTCCTCTTTCTTTTGTTTTCAAGGATGCTTTATTGATCCTGGGTCCATGAGATTCCCATCCTCTAAGGGCGTGCTTGTTTGGACAGCATCAGCGCAACTCCTTGTGTATGTGAAGCATTTCCCTCTTCATGATCAGAGTATGATAGACGTTACCCTGAAGCTAGTCTCAGTTGTCCAACTAGCGTCCAATGCGTTTCACTGATTCCAAGCACCGCTCGGTAGTATCTTCTCAATTCTGCAGCAACATAAATCGTCTTCCACTTTCCAAAAATATTCATACATTCGGTGTCTTCATCATCAGCTACAGCAACGTAGAACTCTGCACGTAAGTACATCAGTTCAAGTTGCCATACCACATTAGCACAGAGACACAATTGTCAATTCAGATCCCATAGTAGTAGGGGTAGTAAAGGTATTACCAGTAGTCGGAGAGATTAGGGTTCGAGCAAATAATTCAATAAGTAGAATCTTATGAAATAAACTTAAGGGAAAAGATAGAAGTGATGAAGGAATTCAGAAGGTTAGGATATGAGAGAACACTAAGTATGGATGCACTTGCGCCATTGCAAAAACTTTTGAGCCACGTCATTCAGGGTCTCTAACCATCGATTACTATCATCCCGTGGACCCCAACCAGATAGTCAACACCTAACAACGTGACTCAGTCCCCTTATCAGTGACTTCATAGATTTCTGCCATGTTTTGGTTTGGCCACCCCTAACTTCCTTCCAACCTATTTCTAGATCGCAAAACAATCGTCGGTGGTTAGGCATACGCAACACATGTCCCAACCACCTCAACTGATGAAGTTTCACTACTTCATCTATTGACCTGCCATCCTACCTAGCACCCGTGTCCTAACGGCAGCATTGTTTACTCGGTTGTCCCATGATACACGAGCAATGCTTCTAAGCCACCTATGATCGAAAACAAGCAACATACTAATATCTTCTACTCTCAGTCAGTCAGTCAGTCAGTCAGTCAGTTGCAACGTAGAACTTCGTACGTATGTACATAAGTTCATGTTGCCATACCACATTATTAGCACAGAGATGCAAATGTCAAATCAAATCCCATAGTGATAAAGATAGTAGAGGTATTAATGTTATAATAAAGAAGACTAGGGTTTAAGATATTATTCAAAAAATATAATTCAGTGAGATAAGGTTAGAAGGACAAAGGTAGAGGTGCTGGCTAATCCAGAAGATTAGGATTTGAGAGAGCTCAAAGAGTGGATGCACCTGCGCCAGTGCAAACGGTTTTGAGCCATGTCAGTCAAGGTCTCTAACCATTGATGACTTTCGTCTCGCTGACCCCAACCAGGTAGTCTACATCTACCAACATGACTCAGTCCACTTGTCAGTGACTTTATGGATTTCTGCCATGTTTTGGTCTGGCCGCCCCTAGCTTTCTTCCAACCTACTCCTACACACAAAAACATAGCTCGTCGAGGCAGTCGGTGGTTAGGCATACGTAACACATGTCCCACGCAGCTCCACTGATGAAGTTTCACCACTTCATCGATTGATCTGCCATCCTTACCTAGTACTCGTTTCCTAACGACAGCATTGCTTACTCGGCTGTCCCACGATATACGAGCAATGCTTCTTAAACATCTATGATCGAATACTAGTAACCTACGAACATCTTCTACTCTTAACGGCCATGTTTCACAGCCATATAAGAGAACGGAACGAACTGCTGCGCAGTACACCCGCCCTTTGGTTAGCGAACGGATATCACGCCTACGCCATAAGTGACGCAGATTGGCAAAAGCCAGTCGAGCTTTCTGTATCCGAGCTGAGATTTCGTCAGTCACCAGACCGTCAGCACTGATGAGACTCCCAAGATAAGTGAAGTGATCTACACGCTCGATTACTTCACTCCCTATCACTAGTTCAGGTGCCGAAGCAACCCAGTCTTGAAGCAACATTTTGCATTTCGAGGGGGAAAACCGCATCCCGAACATGCTTGCATTGTTGCTTATGGTAGTCAGAAGACTCTGCATTTTGTCAGCGTCTTCACCGAATAGAACTATGTCTTCGGCATATTCTAGATCAGTAAGCGACTTTCCTGGTAGAAGGTCAACCCCTGAAAAATCTGACGAGCTTAATGTTAACTCTAAGAGGATGTCTACGACAAAGTTGAACAAAAATGGAGAGAGTGGACAGCCCTGACGGACACCACTTGATGTAGAGAATTCCGGTGACAGTTCGCCATATGCTCTCACCCGACCAGTGGTGTTCAAGTAGAATGCTTGTATAAGGTTAATGTACTTCTTTGGTACACCTTTCAATGACAGACACTGCCACAGAACCTCACGATCCACTGAGTCGAATGCCGCCTTAAGGTCCAGGAACACGACTAACGTCGGACGTCTAAATGTGTGTCTGTGTTCCAGGACCTGTCGTAGTGTGAAGATGTGGTCTATACAACCACGTCCAGGTCGAAAACCAGCCTGGTTTTCTCGAGTCTGCTCTTCGCGAGCTCTAGTTAGACGTCTAAGTATAATCGAGGCTAACAATTTAGAAACTATATTAGTTAAACTTATTCCCCTGTGATTGTCACAAGAGGATTTCTGTCCTTTCTTGTAGATTGGGACAATTAGCGACTGAGACCAGTCAGATGGGATTACGTCCATTTCCCAGATTCTACCTAGGATCTCGGTCAGTCTAACCGTTAAAACTGGACCACCATCCTTAAACATCTCAGGGGTAAGCCTATCGGGACCTGCCGCTCTACCTCTCCTCAGATTTCCTATAGCTTTCTCAACTTCATGTAAACTGGGAGGACTTAAATCGATTTGCAATTCAGGATGACTGGAGATCGTGGGTAACTGAAGAGTGGCTCGTGGCCAGTTGAACTGATCCCTAAAGTGTTCTGCCCATCGACCCAGCCTCCTGGATTGAGAATGGATAATAAGACCATCCTTTTCCGAGATAGTCTCACTTACATTCGGGTTCCTAATACCGGTTTCTTTGATAAGGCGGAAAAGTTGTCTAGTGTTGCCTATCGCCGCTGCCTTTTCCATCGCTTTTGCTTTCGCCACCCACCACTGTTCACGGTCGTTACGTAGGATTTTTATAAGTATGCACCTAAGCTGACTACGCTCTTCATCATGTTCAGAGCCAGGTGGGATGCGTTTTCGAGCATCCATCAGTTCGGTGGATGCGACTGAAATCCACTGCTTCATCCTAGCATTGTGGTTTACCTTGCTAGCAGATACCATTGCTGTTTCCACAGCCTTCTTGAAATGATTCCAACCTGCTTCAGGATGGGAATCACTTGCATGGTCGCCTAACTGTTTTTCTAGTTCCTCCTGAAATATTTTCTTAGCTTGATTATCATCAAGTAAAGCGCTAAGAGGCTTCCTTACGGTGTCTTTCCTACGTCCAGCAAGCCTTAAACAAATACGCGCTCGCACTAGGGCATGATCTGAATCTAAACAGGTGTCTTTCATTTTCACTTAGTCTACCTGCTTGTGCATTGAAGTCACCAGCCATTATAACTATATCAGAGCGCTTAACTTTTTGGAGGAGGTCCGAAAGCTTTCTGTAAAACTCATCTTTTACATCATCTGGGCTGCAGTCAGTGGGGGCGTAGGCTGATATGACGAAGAGGCAACGGCGATAGTCCCTATCTTTGCGAGTCCTTACTGTCCCGTTCAGTCGAACGGCGCACAAGCGACTATCTACAGGGATCCAGTCAAGGAGAGATTGTTCTGCCCTACGACTCAATGCTATACTTACACCGGCGAGGCCCCTAGAAGCAGCATCATGGCTACCGGATACACGAAGGGTAAATCGAGCTGCTTCTTTA